ACATTGCACCATCTACTGGATCCTTTCATAACAGCACAATCTTGTGTGACATAGACTGACTGGATCTCCAATTGGCATTTAATTAATGCACATTAGTAATGTACAGTGCCATTTATAGTCATCATGCCAGAGTATACATTATACTATAAATAAATGGGAGGATCATAAAACCTAATGATGACATGAAAATCCTCATTTATTTTTTATATTTAAGTAGATTGCCATGAGGTAATATAACAACTGTAAACACATTAACAGAGAGAAAGAACAGAGTCAATATGTCATGAGTGAGAAATGGAAAGCAATTCCAAATCAGATTTTTTTTTGCACCAGCACGTCCCATAGATGCTTAATAGGTTTGAGACCCGGAGAATCTGGAGGCCAAGGCAACGCTTGTTCCTCAAACCATTCCTGAATTTCGCAGGATATATTATCCTGCTGAAAGAGGCCACTGCCAACAGGAGCACTATTGCCGTGAAGGGGTGTAAGTGGTCTGCAACAATCTTTAGGTAGATGGTATGTGTCAAAAGATAGAGTATAGCACTGCCTCTGCTGGCTTGCCTTCTTCCCATAGTTCATCCTGCTGCCACCTCTACCCCAGGTAAGGGATGCACACATATCTGGGGTGGACCTACCCCACCAATGGCAGTGAGTGGAGGCCCTAAATATCAATAGGGTGGACCTATTGTCTCCCCCAGCCCCACTTTTTGGTGGTGGGTGGCGATCCCATGTAATAAAGTGGGAGTATGGATCTATTGTCTCCCCCACCCTCTACCCATTGGTGGTGGATGGGGGCCCCCAAGCATAACGTGGGGGATAAAGCTATTGTGTCCCCCATACTGCCACCAATTGGCATAATAATAAGGGGAAGTATTGTCTCCCCAAATAAAAATAATCTCTGGCGGTTCCAAGACTAGAAATCTTTTTTTTATGACAATGAGCAGTTATGGTACATTAGGTAGGGTCAAGAGGAAGGATTTAACCTTCTTTATACTAATATATCATATTGATCCCCCGTATGGTGAGGGGAACATGGGAGGATTTAGGAAGCAGCAGGGAGCAAAGCTCACTCACGCTTTAGTTTTTAATTATTACAAGTAGGGAGCCGTGAACCAATTAGCTTCCTCATTGTAATATAAAACGAACAAACAAAAGAACAAATTGCAGGACAAAATTTTGTCCAACAATTAATTCTGTCTTCATTCAATTAATTTTAATTTTTATTCATTCATTAGTCTTTCGGGCGAATAGCCGAATTCTGGACGAAGATATGTTCGTCTCAAAACGAAATCCCAATTCTAATTTTAAGTACTATTTACCCGCCTCCATGAACCCATACATGGAAGTGGGTGGCGACTATTTAATAAAATAAAAACGGGGGAGACATCTTTACATGTGGTCATCCTAGGGTTTGGTTTGGCCCTCACTCATTAGCAATGGGTGAGGGCCCTAATATTAATATTCAGCTCAGAAGACCTAATGCCTTCCCACCCCCCAAGCCCACTCAAAGGCGGTAGGTGAGGGCTTTAAAGAATTAACAAATGGGGGTGGACATGCTATGGTCTATCCACTTAATCAGTATTTAGGGGGCATTATAAATAAATTAAGACTTTTTTTACATTCTGTTGCCATTTTCATTAAATAATACTGGTAGTATTGCCTTCAGAGTTCTTGTAAACACCTATAAACCAGGTATATGACCATATTTATGTATCTATTTTGTCACACCTACTGTATGTTGGAATAATTGCATTTTGCTTTTATACTAACATACCAGTCCCTGTATAGTATACTATATAATGTGTAAAGATTTTCCTTTCACAAATATTCTTATAAAGCATGAATAAATAGGTGAAAGAGAAATTGTGTAAATTTTCACAACTGTAATGTTCACGTTTGTATATATATCTCTGTGTTGTTATATTTGTACATTAGTATTAGGCAAAAATTTTTATTTTCAAATAGTTTTTATTGATACATTTTTAAAAAAACATAACAATGTAATTTTTTAAAACAATCAAGTAATACGAGTCCAATTTAGGGAAAAAGTAGAATAAATAAATAAATAAAAATTAAGTAAAATGAAAAAAATTAAATAAAATATAAAAGCAAGAAGAAAAGAAGGGGAGGATCCAATGCTAATATTTTTCTAATGAAGAAGTGCAGTTTTAGGACAAAGAACAAAACTGATCCTGTACTGTTTGTTACTCAAGAGATTGGATCTCTTGTCGAATAATAATAATTAAAAAAAAAAAGATGGTTGATAACAACTAAATGTTGATTTTATTCATAGATCAAGTGACAACTGACAAATGAAGTGAAAACAAGAGGAACGGTAAAACAATCTATACTTCCAAGCTGGACGTTTCCAGACACTTTGACTGCAGCCACCAAGGGAGAAAGACCAGCAGTGATACTGTGTTTTTTACTCCAGCTGTGACTTCTGTCTCTAGTTAACAGCTATTGTCCGAGGCATTTGAAACATCTTTCAGTGGGAGATAGGAGATTGCCATTAGTAATTATTGCTAGTGTGAGATTTTATTGGCAATATATAGTTGTTAAAAGTTTTTTTTTTGTTTTGTTTTGTTTACTGTTTTGTGGAAGAAATTCCTTCTTTTGGGGAGTGTAGTGTGTTCAGTAACAAAGGAATTTTTTTTTGGCTAGCCTGTGTCATCGCTTCTAGTGTGAGACAAGGCTTTTAGCTGGTTCTAGCTATTAGTTACTGCCAGGGACATTTGAATCTTTTAAAGGGACTCTACAAGCACTCACATCTGAAGTGGTGTTGGTGTCATGCCCCCTCCTCCCCACCCCAGGAACAGTAATGCTTTCATTGCAGGGTTAACCTGTCTCTAGTGACTGCCATGCTGACTGGCAGTTGAAAGTTCACAGATACAGATACTAAAATAATCAGTAGAGTACTGTGTTAGATTTCATCTTTTGTATAATTAGTTTTTTAAGTAATGTTACCCTCATGTTTTTTTATGGTGATTAATTTTTCCTTGCACATTTAGGTTTATTTTCCATACATTCTTCACTGTATAGAACTTCTCTTTGTATCCATCTTGTTATTCTAACCATTGTCCTATTGGTCACCAGTTAATAGGTCCCCCCCTTATTACTCTATAAATCTCTATAAAGTAGGGTAAAACTTACTTGAAATCCAGCAATGGACAAGGGTCTTCCATGCCACATCACTCCCTTCATCTCAGTGGTCCATTTGATTGAGCTTAGAGCAAGGCTTCCCCTTGCAAGTACACTGCCTGCAAGGGGGGCGGGGGAGGGGGGCGCATTACATCTGTCACCAGCGCACTTTGGCCATGATTTATGTTTACTACATAATGTCGACAAAGAGGTGGCACATGGCAGATTGCCATGCATAATTTTGTGGAAGGGATTAGAGGGACAGATCCTCCAAGCTATGATTATCTAGTTGCTCAGTAGTAATGGTTTGCCCTCATAGCTGGGTTCCTGTCCGTCTCATGGTCTTATCTACTGCTGGGCGATAAGCTTCAGCTTCTGATGAGCAAATAATGGAATTCTGTGCAAAAGAAAAGAAAAATATGCAGAGATTGTACATTAAAACAAAAACAGATAATATGAGGCTGAAGTTCCAGGCTGGTTTGTGACACCCCAGGATGTAGCAGTAGGTGGAGTTATACCTTAGGAAGCAGATCGGTTAATCTCAGTATGTGCAGCATTTCAAGTGGCCATGGTGTTTGGAGTAACCATTTAAATAGAGAAAAAAAAGCAAAAACAATAGCCCATTATTTCTTTTCTATAATTTCTATTCAACAACACAGAAAATATATCCCCACATTAAGAAGCCAAGTGGAGAGATCCCCTTAGTAAATTCAGATGTAAACTTTACTGATACTAGTATATTCCCTAGTCAAATTGTAAAATAAATAAATGAATAAACCCAGTGATCTCTTATCTCTAAAATAAGTTACATAATTTAGTAATAAACCCCTATAAAACACCAAAATTCCCTTGTATAAAAATGTGGTTTGAAGTGTGCTATAGATAATAGAGTTTGCAGGAATCGATAACCTGCAAACTTTCTTTGTCCTAGGGATAAGCATAACCGCCTAGCAAAGCTAGTGGGTATGTGGCAGCCTCCCGGAGAAATATTTTGCCACGCTAAAAAACACTTGTGCTGTGCTCCTGCACAGCAACAACGTTTTAGCCAATCAGGTGATCAGGACAGCCGTGCAGCTCGCTGCAGTCCTGATCACCTCAGATTCTAAAATCGTGATACTGCAGATGGTTAGCTCATCCAGAGACAAGGAACCCCCTAATGTAGGATAGATATCAATGTACACGGTACTAAACGTAATAAAGGAAAAGAGCACCACTGACAAAGTAAGGGGGATAACAATGATTTATTTACTCAACCAAACATGAACTTACTCCTATGAAAGGGTTATGTCAACAGAGTGGAAAGGGAATATAATAAAGTAACAATAAATAAGAAACATTTCTGAAGTACTGGCAGTTAATAGTAACATATGAAAATGCAACAAAACAATCTTTGATCATCAAGGTGAAAAACAAAACAGTCTCTGTGAGAAATATTAGTATATTATAACTTATAATCAAAGAACTTCTGAAAGAAGTTTCTTATCCTCCAGAACTGTTTAGGAGGGTCCTTGGCTTGTGATCCTGTCTGGGTAGCCTGTTGTAATCTGTAAAGATAAACAGAATAAATATACATAAATATAAGCGGAAAAGAAAACAAACATGCAAAATTACTTTAATTAGAAGATTCCCAAACCAGAGAAATACCCTGCCACAACCAGGCAATACAAATAAACCTGGGGAGGGAGGGATGGGCGCTTTGCTAGGTGGTAATGCTTATCCCTAGGACAAAGAAAGTTTGCAGGTCATCGAATCCTGCAAAATGTATTTTGTCCCTCGGGGATGCATAACCACCTAGCAAAGCTAGTGGGTTGAATAGCACGCACCTGGTGGTGGTCCGAAGGAACTGTTAAAGTTCAACTTCAGACGTTAACGAACGTCTTACTGGAAGACCATCTTGCAGCTTCAAGGATAATAGGAAGAGGAAGGCCTCTCGCTGCTGCTTTTGAAGCTGAAGCCCCTTTGATAGAATGACCCTTAAAAACTGTGACATCAATACCCGCTGCAGACATAGCGGACAGTATACAACCCCTGATTGTGTTAACCTTAGCTGGCCGAAAAGGTTTTCTGGAGGTGATAAGTAATTGCGTAAAGTCTTGTCTGACTGGGGCAGAAAGATTCAAGTATGAATTTAACAAATTAACTAAGCATAAACTCGGCTCAGCAGAACCCTGCACCAAATCTAGTTCTACAGGACCCGGGAAAATATGAGAAGTCTTCTGTCTCCCTTTAAGGATGACATGAAATCCCCCTGGAGTTCGAGACAACCATGGTTCGACAATATTTAGCTGGGTTAAATCTGAGCCTCTAGCTGCCAGAGCTAAAACTAGAAGGGATGCCAATTTAATCGCCATCCATCTTAGGTCAACCTGGTCATTGTCCAAAGAATTAAGGTAGTTTAATAAAAGGTCCACATCCCAAGTGGAAATATATCTCGGAGTAAAAGGCCGGCAGACTGATATCCCTTTGAGTAGCCTGAGGTAAAGGGTGTCTTGGATCAGATTAGGGATTAGAAAATTTAATGCAGAACCATACGGCTAACTCTGAATGATATTTGAGCGTGAGGAATTCCAAAGCTAAGGGAATTGTGTCAGATTCATGGGAAAGGGAATTAAAGGAAACTTCCTGTGCTTTAAATTCCTTGATCATCTGTTTGTATCTTACCTGGTCCTGCGCCGTAATGAAGAATTAACTATGCCTAAAACCCGGTCAGACAGAAGAGGATACGTTAAAAGCCTACCAGGGCTGCCATCTACATAAGTTGGGGGAGCTTGGTTAAGAGATACCTGGTCCCTACGAAGCAATCTGTTGTCCAGCCTAATGGAACCTTTGGTCTCCTGAATAGAGGTTGGATCAGAGGGTACCATGGTCTGGAGGTCCAACTGGGGTACACTTAAACTAGATTGGGCACCCTTTCTCTGTGAAGTTTCTCTAACATCTTCATCAGAATAGATGGAGTGGGAAAAGCGTAAAGGCCCGGAATGTCTGTCCATTGGATTTTTTCCCATTTGTGTCGGGGAACAGGCAAGAGGAAAGGCAAGCCTTCTTTATGCTTTTACTCACTGGGACTATATCCTCCTCAGAAGATGAAGAGGATATGTCCCAGGCAAGGAATGATCTCTTATGGAATGCTCTCTTCTAACATTGATGGGACTGTCTCTAGGAGAGACATCCACCATATCTGTGGCAGACACAGAAATGGAGTCCTCCATCAACGTTTCCATTTTAAAATCTGAGGTGATCAGGGCTGCCGCAAGTTACACGGCTGTCCTGATCCCCTGATTAACCAAAACGTTGTTGCTGTGCAGGAGCACAGCATGAGCGTTTTTTAGCGCAGCAAAATATTTCTGCGACAAATAGTGGGTGTTCTTAGTAAACGGCTGTCCTACAAATGTTTCAAACAAAAGTTCCAACAATGATGATTTTCTCATTGTGAGTGGCAATATGCAGACACTGTAGAGTTTTCACTAAAAGCGGAATATGCTAAATTAACTTCTACTACTTTCATTTGGATAATCTCTAGGTTTTTTTGTCTCAAACTACGGGGGTGCAGATATTACAAGTTTGCAAAGTCACACACAAAAATGAATGCTTAAACATAAAAAGGTAATTTTTCCTGATGGTATCATATCAGTTACTTTGTCCATAAATCCAGAAAATGCTATTTAAAAAAAAAATACAATTTAAAATAAAAAATAAAAAATCAGCCATACTTTTGAGTAGTGTTATTACAAATTTGGTAAGATGCTGCAAGAACAAATGCACATTCTGTGCCATTTTACCCTCATGCTTTTCATCAGGGCGGGTGCTAGGATTTTTGGCCCCTTCCCAAAATGTATCTTTACCTTTCTGTGATTTCGAAAGCCCTACAAACGAAATATAAACAAAACGAAAGGGGAAATGCCAAATGCATTACCGTTTTGTTTAGTTCATTTAATAGACTCTGTGCTGCAGGGGAATTAACCCCCACAGCACGGAGAATTAACATTGCGCATGCACAAAAAAAAAAACAAGGAAGCAGCTGGCAGCGCTACCAGCTCCCTTGTAATAAATATTAATTCCACCCACCCCCCTTCATTAAAACCTATGGGGGTCACTATGTTAACAAAAGGGAGGTTAAATCCTCGCTGTCATTTAAAACTTAATATAAATCAGTATGGGGGTCACTATGACCCCCATATAGATAAAAGGGATGTTCAATACTCCTGCATGCCCCTACTCGTGGCATGCCGTGAGAAGGGGCATGTCACCTAGACCAATTTGAAAGTATTAGTGACTGGGCAGCCCAGTCACTAGTGCAATAAGGGGGCACCTGGACCTGGCACATTCCCCATGGTGGGGAACACAGACACAATACCTAAAATAGGGGGGGCATAGTGCCCCTCTGCACCCCACCTGTGACCCGTGGGTGGGGGCTATTAATATAAACAGGGGGACCAAATGTCCCCCCTGGTCCCCACCCATGAGTGGCGGCTGGGGACCTTAATTAAATAATGCGGGGGACCTAAGGTCCCCCCAGGTCCCCACCCATGTGCGCGGGTGTGGACCCTAATTAATTAAAGGGGGGGCCTAATGTCCTAATTATTTTAAGAGTTCCCACCCATGAGCAACGGTTGGGGACCCTAAATAAATAAATAATGGCTTAAACCAACCAATCAGAGCACTCTGAGTCTAATTGCAAGGCGTGGCAAGGCTTTATAAGCCTTTTCCCACCCTGCGGAGCTCATTCTGCGCCGTGCCCTCCATGGGCGAAGATGGATTTTTTTTTTTCCTAAATTTTGTAAAAAAATTATTTAGGGCCCACCCGCCGCTCATGGATGGAACATGGGGGACATTAAGTGCCCCTTTTAATTAATTAGGGTCCCCACCCACTGCTCATGGGTAGGGACCTGGTGGGACATTAGGTCCCCCCCATTTTTTATTTATTTAGGGTCCCCACCTGCCGCTCATGGGTAGGGACCTGGTGGGGATATTAGGTTCTCCCCCATTATTATTTATTTAGGGACCCCACCCGCCGCTCATGGGTGGGGACCAGGGGGGACATTGCGCCCCTCGTTTATATTAATAGCCCACACCCATGGGTCATGGATCATGCTGTCATTCTGGAATACCCATCCCATTTTCAATGCCCTGGCTGAGGGAAGGAGGTTCTCACCCAAGATTTGATGGTACATGGTCCTTTGATGCGGTGCAGTTGTCCTGCCCCCTTAGTAGAAAAACACCCCAAAGGATAATGTTTCCACCTCCATGTTTGACTGTGGGGATGGTGTTCTTGCGGTCATTCCTCCTCCTCCAAACACAACGAGTTGAGTTGATGCCAAAGAGCTCGATTTTGGTCTTATCTGACCACAAAACTTTGATCCAGTTCTCTTCTGAATCATTCAGATGTTCATTGGCAAACTTCAGACATACCTGTACATGTGCTTTCTAGAGCAGGGGGACCTTGCGGGCGCTGCAAGATTTCAGTCTTTCACAGCGTAGTGTATTACCAATTGTTTTCTTGGTGACTATGGTCCTAGCCTTGAGATCATTAACAAGATCCTCCCCTGTAGTTCTGGGCTGATTCTGCACCGTTCTCATGATCATTGAAATGCCACGAGGTGAGATCTTGAATGGAGTACCAGACCGAGGGAGACTGACAGTTATTTTGTGTTTCTTCCATTTGCGAATAATCGCACTAACCGTTGTCACCTTCTCACCAAGCTACTTGACAATGGGCTTGTAACCCATTCCAGCCTTGTGTAGGCCTACAATCTTGTCCCTGACATCCTTGGACAGCTCTTTGGTCTTGGCCATGGTGGAGAGTTTGGAATCTGATTGATTGATTGCTTCTGTGGGCATGTGTTTTTTATATAGGTAACGAGCTGAGATTAGAAGCACTCCCTTTAAGAGAGTGCTCCTAATCTCAGCTCATTACCTGTATAAAAGACACCTGGGAGCCCAAAATCTTGCTGATTGATAGGGGATCAAATACTTATTTCACTCATTGACATGCAAATCAATTTATAACTTTTTTGACATGCGTTTTTCTGAATTTTTTTTTTGTTATTCTGTCTCTCACTGTTAAAATTCACATACCATTAAAATTATAGACTGATCATCCTAATACCATGCCGTCTATCCCCATCTACCAATATTAAGTGTGCACTCTGGAACGCCCGCTCCATCTGCAGCAATTTAAAATCAACCCAGACCAAACAACTGTAAAAGAGATGGTGTAGGCAGGGCCGGATTAACATAGGGGCTGATGGAGCGGTAGCTCCAGACCCAAGCCTATGGAATCGGCACATTGATTAATTTTTTTTTTTTTTTTACACACTACTCTTGTATACTCATGCCAGGTATTTCTCAGAAGTGTTTCTAATGTATTTGAGGCTGCCTTGCTGGTGCTGGTATTGCAGCAATACTGGCAATGTATAAACAGATATTATTCTGCAATACCAGTGCCGGTCAGTAGGGGTTGCTGTGTGTGTGGAGAGGGATAAGAAGTTACAGCATCTCCCTCTCTGCCTCTCTCTACTCACTGATCCACGGAGGGAGCAGCTCTGAGCCTGCAGAGACAGCCAACAGCTCAGGTAAGTGAGGGATAGGGGGAAAGGCTGCAGGGAGACATGGGGACACAGACAGTAAGGGACACTGGGAGACACTAGAGGACAATGAGACACTAGGGGACATTGTGAGACATAGGGGCACGGAGACACTAGGGGGCAATGAGACACTAGGGAACACTGGGAGACATAGGGACACCGACACTAGGGGAAACTGGGAGAGATGGGGACGGTGAGAGACTTGGGGACACTGGGAGGCATAGGGACACTTGGTGACACTGAGACACTAGGGGGCCCTTCGAGACCTGGGGGCACTGAGACACTAGGGGGAACTGTGAGAAATGGGGATGGTGAGAGACTTGGGGACACTGAGACATTGGGACACTGGGAGACATGGGGACACTGAGACACTGGGGAACATGGGGACCCTGAGACACTAGGGACACAATGGCCCCATGTCTCCTAGTGGCCCCTAGTCTTTCAGTGTCCCCATGTCTCCCAGTCAGTGTTCATAGTGTCTCAGTGTCCCCATGTCTCCCAGTGTACCTTGTGTCTCTGTGTGCCTATGTCTCCTAGTGTCCCTGGTGTCTCTCAGTGTCCCTAGTGTTTGTGTCCCTAGTCTCCCAGAGTCCCTGAGTCTCCCAGAGTCCCCTAGTCTCTGTGTCCCCATGTATCTCAATGTCCCAATGTCTCTCCCAGTGTCCCCTAGTGTCTCAGTGTCCCCTAGTGTCTCAGTGTACCCATGTCTCTGAGTGTCCCAATGTCTCTAGGTGTCCTAGTGACATGAGGAAACTGGGAAACATGTGGACACAGACTCTAAGGGACACTGAGAGACATGGGGATACAAGCACTAGGGGACACTGGGTGACACTGGGACACTGAGACACTAGGGGACACTGAGAGACATGGGGACACTTATGTTTTCTCGTAGCTACATTCTATGAGTTTCCCTCCAGCACCATCTCCATCAGATACATGACGCATGGGAGGTAGGACTATTTTATGTTTTTGGTCGATAAGATCTTGTAATTAGGCCCATCATAATTATCAGCACGAGGCCCACTGGGCTCTTAATCTGGCCCTGGGTGTAGGCATCCTTCTCTCCCCTCAATGTGACCTTCAACCTATCCTCCCTGCCCCTGACCTATCCTTTACTTTCTTTGAAGTTCACACTGTCCGTCTATTTAAACCCACTCCTTTAAGAATTTATCACCCCTCGGTCATCTTAGGCTATTTATTGAACACTTTTCTTCCTGGCTACCCCATTTCCTCTCCTCTTGCACTCCTTCCCTCATTCTTGGGGACTTTAATTTCCCAATCAACAACCCTAACTGCCCTGATGCCTCTCGTCTGCTCTCTATACCCTCCTCCATTGGACTCACATAGTGGTCTAATTCATCAACTCATAGAGCAGGAAACACTCTTGACCTCATCTTCACCAATCT